CGTTGATTGTGGCGCGAGGTGATTGGCTGACGACAAGAGTTCCCAGTCCGCCTCTCCGTCTGTGTCCTAAATGTCTCTGAATATGAGCGAGTCGGAGCTCGGATAACTCTTTCAGGCGCCTTAAAAGGAGGAAATTGTGGATGAATTTTTCTTATAAATAATTGTTGCATGACGCTATTATCGTTTATCTTATTAAAAAGAGATAATTGTAATCTGATATTCATCTGTTTGTGATAATGTATGGTTAAATATTGTTATTTATAGTCGTTTTCTTTTGGATTTAATATTTAGAAAACGGCGGAAATGCTGCTACGGAAAAGCGGCCAGCCCTGATAGTATCTGGAGCAGTGACTCGTTTGATAACAATTCGAAATAAGTAAATAAACAGGCTTAGGAATGATTCCTTAGTCGATAAAAGGTGATATACCAATATGATAATGGTTGCATTAGTCCCTATTTTGTAGATTTCTGCTCACAAACTATCTACCTACTGCCTATACCAATTAGGTGCCTGACCCGCAACCATAGTTCAAAAATTGCACTGTTTTCCCGCGGTTTTCTTTACACATTGCGTGATTGGCCGAAGGAGCCTAAAGAATTATGTATGCCGCTCGCTGATTGGTTCAAGTGCTTTATCAGTGCCCTCTTTCGGCCACCATTAGAAGGAGGATATTTACCGTCTCTTCTTGAATCTCACACCTTACTATCGCTGGTAAATGCTGGTGATTGGCCTGGAGCTGTTGCCTTACGATCATTTGTTAGAAAATCCGGCCCCGTGACCTAATCTCGGCTCCGGATTTTGCGATTTTCCATTTTCTTTGTGATTCGAAAGACGATTTTTGGCTTGAGTTTAGCATTTCTCATTTTCTATTACTCTTTACGTGCCTGTTATGAGCAAAATTTCCCAAGCTCCCATCCCCCAAAATTATTGGCTCTAGTCCCATTGTTAACTTTTTTCTTCATTGTCTTCCCCATTGTTATTGTCATTATCATTATAATTATCATCATTAGTACTACCATTATCATTGTTATGATTAACTTTATTATCATTATCATTATAATTATCATCATTAGCACTAATATCATTTTCATGATTAATTTTATTAGTATTATTATCACTGTAATTATCACCATTGATACTATTATTGTTATGATTAACTTTATTATCATCATTAACATTATTATTGGACAGAATATGAAATACGATTAAGCATAAGGTATATAGAAATCGGGTAAAATCCCGATACTCGAAAAATTATAAAGGAAAGTTTTTGAAGAACACTTAAAAAAAAAGTTCTATTCAAAGAGAATCATTTTACGGTGTCATTCTGCATTTTACTCGAGTGCTACAGAAGGATCTTTACTCATATATCTCTAGCTATGTTGATATGATCAACCCTCTTATTCATATTTACATAGAAAGCCAGTTGAATCTTGTAAGAAAATGTGAAATAAAGAAAACAACATTAGTGTAGTTGATATAAAGGTTTATTCTTTAACCACAATACACTAGGACGAGGTGTATAACCAGACAAACCTCTATTCTGTACATGTATATAGGATTTATGTACAATATTAACAAAGTCTTTTTTTAGAGGTTTTCGTCAGTAAGTTACCTATTTGCCTTTATTTTGTTTTTTGGGTCAGTGTGATATCTGGAGAATTTACAGCAATATTGCTTTTATATCACGTGATAGGAAATTTATACAATTCGGAAGTCTCCTGTTTTTCGATATTTAAATTCCATTGAAAAGAAACCGCAATTTACGTAATCTGATATCACAAATGACCCCAAAATCACTCGCAAAAAGGAGGGAAGCAACGAACTTATCGCATAGACGGTGAGCACTTAACACAGGCGGACCTGCATCACCGCACATCCTTCAGTAATACAAAACTATAAATCGTGAAAACATGGTAACTATGAACCTACTCACGGGCGACGAAGGTGAAACTGGTTGAAAATATGTTTAGATATATATATTTAATCGTTGTATATATTTGCATAGATATGATTCTTCATGAGCAGACGCTACGGCATCGCTGCTGAACGATCGAAACCAGATCACCTTTGTAGAAGTAAGATCAAAATGAATCAAGGCGGAAGATGATGTAGAGGAAATGAGTACTGCAAAGTTTCGAGATTCCGACCGAGACCGGCGCCTCGGGCGGGACGCGCCGTCACGTGTTCACCAAATGGCAACCGAAAAATTGTAGCAAGGGGAGGTCAGTCGTCTTACAACCAGCCCGTACGCACCTGGCCAGTGACCTGAGACTTGCCCTCCGGGATGGGGTCGGCCCCGCCCTTCGAGGGCGTGGAGCGGGAGGGGCGGGTTTGCTGGGGGCGGGCTTGGCGGGCTGGCTTGGCGGCTGGGGCTTGGCTTGGCGGCTGGGGGGAGGCTTTGGGCTGGCTGGCGATGGGCCTGACTGGGGGCTCGGAGATCCTGACGGTGGGAGTCGTGGGGCGGCGGCGCGGGCGGGGGAGGAACGCTAGCCTTGG